GCCAATGGTGTTCAAGTGGTGCTCCAGTTGTTTTGGGATTGCACCCAAGGAGCCTACTACTATTGGTACTACCCTTGCTTGCTTTTGCCACAGTCTTTCCATTTCTATTTGTAGGTCTTTGTATTTTGTTATCTTCTCCAGTTCTTTCTCGTCTATTCTGCTGTCTCCAGGCACTGCCACGTCCACTATCCAGACTTTTTTGTCTTTCTTATCGACAATTGTTAAGTCTGGGGTGTTATGTTGCAGGTGCTTGTCTGTTTGAATTCTGAAGTCCCAGAGCAGTTTAATTTTATCATTTTCTATGACTTTCTCTATTTTATGATCCCACCAGTTTTTGCTTACAGGCAAATGATATTTTTTGCAGATCTTCCAATGCACCATTGTTGCTACTTTGTCATGCCGCTGCTTGTAGTCAGTCTGTGCAATCTTCTTGCAACAGCTTACCAGGTGGTCCACTGTTTCTTCAGCTTCTTTGCATAGGCGGCACTTACTGTCTGTTGCTGTCTTCTCAATTTTGACTTTATATGCATTTATTCTTAAGGCTTGGTCTTGTGCAGCCAGAATTAGTCCCTCGATCTCTTTCTTCAATTTTCCTGCTCTTAGCCATTGCCAGGTCTTGTTATTATCTGCTTTCCCAGCTATTTTTTTTACGTACTGGCCATGTAGTGCTTTGTCTTCCCATGCCTCTATTCTTTTATTTATTTATTTATTTATTTATTTATTTATTATGTATCATCGCACAGTCAGCCAGATGTTCAGACTGGATTTGGCGTTTTGTCTACCTATCGAGTCTTTACCAAGGATCTGGGATAGGCAGATGTGGATGTTTGATGTTATTATAGATATTATTATTATTATTATTATTCTCAATCATCGCACAGTCAGCCAGATGTTCAGACTGGATTTGGCATTTTGTCTACCTATCGAGTCCTTACCCAGGACCTGGGATAGGCAGATGTAGATGTTTGATGGTATTACAGGTATCGTCGCAGGATGGAAGCAGTTCCTAATAAGGCCGCCTTTTGCAATTGACTAATAGCAAATTTGTCAATGCCAATGGTGTTCAAGTGGTGCTCCAGTTGTTTTGGGATTGCGCCCAAGGAGCCTATGACTATTGGTACTACCCTTGCTTGCTTTTGCCACAGTCTTTCTATTTCTATTTGTAGGTCTTTGTATTTTGTTATCTTCTCCAGTTCTTTCTCTTCTATTCTGCTGTCTCCAGGCACTGCCACGTCCACTATCCAGACTTTTTTGTCTTTCTTATCGACAATTGTTAAGTCTGGGGTGTTATGTTGCAGGTGCTTGTCTGTTTGAATTCTGAAGTCCCAGAGCAGTTTAATTTTATCATTTTCTATGACTTTCTCTATTTTATGATCCCACCAGTTTTTGCTTACAGGCAAATGATATTTTTTGCAGATCTTCCAATGCACCATTGTTGCTACTTTGTCATGCCGCTGCTTGTAATCAGTCTGTGCAATCTTCTTGCAACAGCTTACCAAGTGGTCCACTGTTTCTTCAGCTTCTTTGCATAGGCGGCACTTACTGTCTGTTGCTGTCTTCTCAATTTTGACTTTGTATGCATTTGTCCTTAAGGCTTGGTCTTGTGCAGCCAGAATTAGTCCCTCGGTCTCTTTCTTCAATTTTCCTGCTCTTAGCCATTGCCAGGTTTTATTATTATCTGCTTTCCCAGCTATTTTTTTCATGTATTGGCCATGTAGTGCTTTGTCTTCCCATGCCTCTATTCTGTTCTTCATTTGGTCTTTCTTGTAGGCCAGTTTGGTCTCTCCAGTAGTTAGTAAGCCTTCCTGATATACTAATTTCAGTGCATCTTCATCATTGTTCTTCAGATATTCTTCCAAAGCCATTTTTTCTTCTTCAACCATCTGATGTACTTGTAGCATTCCACGCCCACCTATTTGCCTTGGTAGATAAAGTCTATCAATGTCACTGCGTGGATGAAGGGCATGATTCATTGTCATTATTTTTCTGGTCTGCCTATCCATTGCTTTTAGTTCTGCTTGAGTCCAGTCCACTATTCCAGCTGTGTACCTAATGACTGGGATTGCCCAGGTGTTGATTGCCTTTATGGTATTTCCTCCATTGAGTTTGGACTTTAAGATCTTCTTCACTCTCTTGATGTATTCACCTCTAATCTTTTTCTTGACTTCAGTGTGCTTGATGTTGTCAGCTTGAAGGATACCCAAGTATTTGTAGTACTCTTCCTCATCCAGACTCTTAATGTTATTTTCGTGGGGCATCTTGATTCCTTCAGTTTTCACTATTTTTCCTTGTTTGATAGTAAGTGTGGCACATTTGTCCAAGCCAAACTCCATTACAATATCTTGGCTATATATACGGACAGTGTTGAGCAGCGATTCTATTTCAGATGATGTTTTTCCATACAGCTTCAGATCATCCATGTAAAGGAGGTGGGATAGTCTAGCAGATGTTTTTGATGTTTGATAGCCATGTCCTGAGTTATTCAGTATTGTTGACAGAGGAAACAGTGCAATAACAAATAGTAATGGTGATAATGAATCTCCTTGAAATATTCCTCTCTTGATATTAACCTCTCCCAGCTTTTCACCATTGATCTGCAACTGTGTCTTCCATTGTGCCATCGATCTTTGCACAAATTTTCTGATGTTTCTACTGACTCCTGTTATTTCTAGGCACTTGATTATCCAGTCATGTGGCAGAGAGTCAAATGCCTTTTTGTAGTCAATCCATGCCACATTCAGGTTGGTCTTCCTTCTCTTGCAGTTTTCCAAGATCATTTTGTCTATTAGGAGTTGATCTTTTGTTCCTCTGCTATTGGGGCGGTTTCCTTTCTGCTCAGGTGGAAAGAGATTGTTTTCAACTAGATGCTGTTGTACTGCATCAGCTACCACACCAGTTAGTAATTTGAAAGTTGTTGGTAAGCAGGTAATTGGCCTGTAGTTACCTGGTGTTGCCCCTTTTGCTGGATTTTTCATTATTAGGTAGGTTTTCCCAGTTGTTAGCCACTTTTCAATTTCTCCTCCTTGTAGTATATTGTTGAACTGCTTGGCAATGAGTGGGTGTATAACAGTTAGATGTTTCAACCAAAACCCATGCAGTTCATCTTCACCTGGTGCTGACCAATTTTTGATTTTCTTTGCTCTTTTTTCTACCATTTTTGTTGTTATTACTAGTTCTTTCATTTCAACTTCTGTTTTATTTGCATCCACCTCTTTTAACCAAGCCGCATCCTTGTTGTATTTCTTTGGGTTATCCCATATCTGCTTCCAGAACTGCACTGTTTCTTCCTTGTCAGGTACTGACTGATTCCTTGCAGTTTCTCCATTGATGGATTGGTAGAAACGTTTCTGATTGGATTGAAATTGGAGGTTCTGCCTATAGTTTGCAATTCGAGCTTCATATCTACTGATTTTCCTGGCTATAGCTGTTATTTGTTGCTTTATTATTTCCAGTGCTTCCTTGATCTTCCTTGTTTCTAAGTGGTATTTCTTGATTAGGTATTCTTTGGTCTTCTTGTTCTTCAGCTTCTTTTCTTTCATCTGTTCTAGCTTGCTTGCATGTGATCTTAACTTGCTGATCTTATTTTCTAGTCTAACCTTCCATTTTTGTGGTGCACTGTTTGTTTGTTTTTCTTTTTTGTTGATTTTACATCCCAGGTATTCTGTTATAACTGCAGCTGTGCTGTACATTAATTGGTTTGTTTCTTGCAGTGAATTGGTGCTTATACTTGCTATTGCAGTATTTGCATCTTTTAATGCTTGTGCTAGCTGTTTCTTTGGAACAAGCTTCAATGCAGGCAGCCTTATTCTGTTGTTTTTGTGCTGTTCTAGATGCTCAATTATTCTTTGTTTCAATTCTTTTATTTCTTTAGTTAGAGGGTTTTGTTCTTCCTGAGGAAGAGGTGCCTGGTTTCCAAATGAGAACAGTTGTATATCTCTACTGGATTCCTTCACTGCCAACTCCCCCTGGTTTGCCTCTACATTCTGAATTACTTCTGGTAAGGCTTTGATTTCTTTGCCCTGGGTAAACCTTTGCAGTTCGTCCAATTCTGTTTCTGTAAATACTTTATTTCATGTTATAAATCGGCGTTGATCTGCTAGTCTCTGTTCTGTTATTTCTGATTCTGGATGTTGTTCTTTCCAGAATTGGTGCATTCGTTTTAGATAACCTCGTCTTGTTGGACTTGATCTGTAGTAACAGATCATTATTTCTTTGTTTTCCATCACTGTGTATCTGCGACGGGTAAATACCTTTTCTTCCAGTAGTTCTGCAGCTGCTGGCCCTGATTGCTCAGCCAACAGTCCTGAGTCCTGTAACCCATTTTTCACCAGATATCCAGGAACTCCAATATCTAGTGCGGACCTTGTTAACCCGGGCGACGTCCGAGCCGGTATGGCATTCTGAAATTTACGTCTCACCATATTTTATTATTATTATTATTATTATTATTATTATTATTATTATTATTATTATTAACCTTAACCACTTGAAGATGTGTGGACTTCCCAGAATTCCCCTATCAGCATTGAAGTCCACACTTCTGCATATGGTCACGGTTGAGAGACACTGGATTAGAGAATTTGAGGCATCTTTGCTTTGCTGTAATGCTGAAACATGCAGAAATGTAGTATTTGTATTTTTTCAGTTGAGGCTGTTGATAAGTTTAGGCAATTTGGGGGGGGGGGGGGGAAGTGCTTAGAGCAATTCTTCCAAAGGTCATTTCATTGGACTCTGGCTGACAGTGCTTACTTACCTTGGGACAGAAGAGGCTCCCATAAGCATAATGGCTGGGGGTTAAAGTAATTGAACTTGCCTGGCAAGATTTTGGGGAAGTGATGATATATTTTAGGGAAAGGATATATGTAGCATGTGGTCTTGATGTTCTGTGATGGGGAGAACGATGCAAATCAGTCCTAGGAACAGCTCCTTTGTTTAGAAGACAACTTCCAATTGAACCATTGTCTGCTGAGGGCAGCTGGCACCAGGACTTCAGCTGCATTGGATCCCTCTCAAAAAAAAAAATAAACCCCAGAATCCAGGGGACAAAACAACACAAAGATTGTGTATTCCATGTGAAAAGAGGAAAAACTTCTGCAGGAGAGCAGAAAGCTTAAAAGGCTGCTGAAGACCCTACCAAAACATGGATAAAAAAAGCAAGCTGGTAAGAAAAAACACATCTCACTGCTTCCTAACTCTTTAATTTGTTATCTGTGTTGCACTTGATAAAGTTAGCAAGTCCATTTTTATTATAACTCATTGCTCTTACTTTTATACGTCTGTTTATGGAGAAGAATGGGGGGGGGGTATTACAGAAATGCATGTTGAACAGTTAGCTTGCTAGTAATGCTTGAATACAAAATAGGTTTTGTATTGGCCTGGAGATCATTCTCTCCCAAAGGAGGTTCAGTTCCTTTGAACTAATCATCTATAATATCTAGCCAGAATATCAGAATGGGGTTGGAGACAACTGAATATAAAGCAGGGAGCAGTTTTTACGGCTTCATCAATGGCTTAATACTAATCCTTTCTGGTTGAAACGCAACTGGAAAACTGCAAGGTTGAATGCAGCTCCACCTAAATGCTTCTGACACTGCACTTTCAAAGCTGAGGTTGGATGAATGAAAATGCTATAAAGAAGCAATCCAAAGTCCTGCTTAGGGTGTTGTATGAACTCAGCCTATGCAGCCTTCTTAGACAACAAGTCCCAAGCAATGGATTAGGAATTCTCAGCCCTCTGCTCTAAAAATTTGTTCATTTTTAATGGTTGTATAACATTAGCAAGAATATTGGTTCATTCTCGACTTTTTGATAGGATTTGTTTGGCTGCGCAGAGGCTTCTTGGGCTCACTCAACAAGAAATAAAGGGAAATGCTCTGGAGATGTGGTTGGCCTACCACTTTCTGGACCGGGAATCCATCTAGCAGTTAAACTTATGTTCCAAGAGAAACCTAGAATTTCCAAGTATTATTATGGTGAGGAGGAATTTCTTCCTCACCATGATAATACCTTCAAATAACTGCTAAGCTTCTTTATGTTGTTGTTGTTGTTAATTGCGAAGTCGTGTCCGACCCATCGCGACCCCATGGACAACATTCCTCCAGGTCTTTCTGTCCTCTACCATCTTCTGAAGTCCATTTAAATTCACACCTACTGCTTCAGTGATTCCATCCAGCCATCTCATTCTCTGTCGTCCCCTTCTTCTATTGCCCTCAATCTTTCCCAGCATTAGGCCCTTCTCCAGTGAGTCCTTCCTTCTCATTAGGTGGCCAAAGTATTTGAGTTTCAACTTCAGGATCTGGCCTTCTAAAGAACAGTCGGGGTTGATCTTTTCTAGGACAGACCAGTTTGAACGCCTTGCAGTCCAAGGGACTCGCAGGAGTCTTCTCCAGCACCATAGTTCAAAGGCCTCAATTCTTTGGCGCTCAGCCTTTCTTATGGCCCAACTTTCACAGCCATACATTGCAACTGGGAAAACCATGGCCTTGAGTATACGCACTTTTGTTGGCAGGGTGATGTCTCTGCTTTTTAGTATGCTGTCTAGATTTGCCATAGCTTTCCTCCCCAGGAGCAAGCGTCCTTTAATTTCCTGGCAGACCATATTATTTTTTAGTGAGCAATGTGTGAAGGTACTATTACAGACCAGTTAATTCTTTTTCTTCTCTCTCTCTTTTTTTTTTTACAAAAAAAAGCCTCAAAGAACACAAGTGACCACCCCTTCATTTCTTTTCTCAGATAACAACAAATCACCCCAAAAGATCTGGGGTTCTTTGAAGTGAAACTATTTGTAGTCCAAGAAACACTTACATTGACAATTAACTCAGTCTTAACAGAGCCTACCTAACCTAATTCATGGATCCAGTTAGCATGTTTTAGCAAATGTTATTTTCACAACGAATGGATGCTCCCAGGAGTGTGTGCAGAAAGGGAGTCAAAAACATCAAGCTAGTGGCCACAACTATAAAATTGAACTAACCCTTTCTCTTTACATACATTACAAGGAAATGGCTTTGATCACATGGTTGTGGCCATCATTTTGACTATTTTGACCCTCTTGTAGATACCCCTGGATACTCCCTTTTCCCTTCAAGCAACAACAGTAGTAGCTAATGTGTTAGAAGCCATAAACAGAATCCACTTTTATCTCAGGAGGAAAGATTATCCTGAGAAATATTGTCAAAAGTTTATTTTGTTCACTGTATACATACAACATTCTGAGTTTGCCTGCTAAATGACCTTGCTTTATATTGTCATATCAATTGTTTTGGATTACTGAATGCCATCCATGATGCAAGCAAGAATGCGTACTGGCTATTTCCTTTTTATCCAAATATTTAAATAGCAGTCTATGTTGATAATACAGAAAAGATGACATGTAAAAACTGGTCATTCTCTTATTTTTTTGTTAGGGTCAACGAAATTGTAGACAAGCTTTGGTATTCTTCATCAGATAGATGAAAAAAAGAATAAAGAGGAGAAAGCTCTCTGTTTTTTTAACTGAATGAAGTGTGCATAGGTCAGAAGTGGGTGAGAAGAATATAACAAGCTTGATAATTAAGCAGGCATCCTGGTGACCTCCATATATTTTGGACTACAGCTCCAGTCATTCCAGATGGAGTGATCCTGAAAAAGGATTGTGAGAGGTACTTGAAACATCTGGCAGGCATGTTTTTGAGTTACAGCTAGAAAACTGGGATTTATAAATGCATAATGTGTGTTGTGCAGAGTGAAGAGTGTTGTGGATTACTCAGCACTGTGTTCATGTATGGCCAATTTCTGCAAATCAAGTCTTGACTTTATAGAACTTTCTACCAGAACACTGAATAAAATTCTCAAGTAGATCTTAAACCAACAAAACGTAGTTGCTGCCATCGCAAAACAGCCCTTCTCAAATATTATAGGCCAGTGATGGCGACCCTTTTAAAGACTGAGTGCCCAAACTGCAACCCAAAACTCACTTTTGCATTGTCAGGTGCCGGATGGGTGTGGCCCATTGGGTGGATATGGCCAATTGGGGTGTGTGGCCCATTGGGTGGGCATGGCTGTGGTGGTAATGGCAGACTGGGTGGGACTAAAAAGTTCAATCAATCAATTCCAACTTTGCAAGATCTTTTTTTTTCCCTGCGAGAAGTTGAAATTGACTGATTGATTGAACCTTTTTTCTTTTTGCACACAGCAGCAGAGGCCTAAAGCAAAAAGGTTTTATAAAACCCAGCTGAAGGCCTAGGACTGGGGCAACGGCACACATGCCCACAGAGAGGGCTCTGAGTGTCGCCTCTGGCACCCGTGCCATAGGTTCACTACCACTGTTATAGGCCTTCCTCAAAGATATTAGATTGATACTGCCAAAAAAATATTTCCACAGAAACTGAAATGCTTCTTAAGGGAATTATTTATAAAAAGGAACCACATGTTATCTTTCTAATAGTGTTGGACTAGCTAAACTATCCATAAATCTTATGTTACAGTAATTTTGCAGGCATACTTACTCTTTGCTTTTTTCCAGTGCTATGCAGAACAGAAAAAATAAAATAGGGGATGTTAGTTATTGCCTCCATCATACCTATTTGCCAATTCATACACTGACATTTCTTCCTTACGCTTTTCATCACTCTCCTTTTAAGGATCTCATCAGCTCCATCCAATCACAACGTTCTCAGCCTATCTCTATGTCTTGGCTATTTCATATTTTCTTCATATATTTCTTTTGTGATTCAGTCCTCATTCAGCTTCTCTATAGGACAAATTCACCTCAAAATATTTCTTCCATTCTGCTCACTTTCCTTTGTTCTCATTAATACTTTACTTCTGTTCTATAAAATAAATAAATAAATAAATAAACTTTATTGTCATTGTATGTGTATACACAGTATACACATACAACAAAATTTACATGACACCCAAAGACCAGGTCCCACAAACATAATCCCCAAACACACTCCCACCTACCACAATTCCCTCCCCCCTAAAACCACCCAACAGACCAAGTAATACTGTCCAACAGTATATTAGCTGTTCTATATTAGCAATAGCTCAAAACAGAGGTTGTCCATAGCAAATAGCATTTAGGCTTATATACTGCCCTATAGCAGTTTACAGCACTCTCTGAGCAGTTTACAAGGTAGAAGCATTGTTTACATTTTGCCACCAACAATTTTACTTACCTTGGCAGGATGAAAAGCTGAGTCAACCTTGAGCATCATCAGGATCATACACCAGGCTGTGGGCAGAGTTTGTCTGCAATACTGCACTTTAACCACTGTGCCACCAGGGATCTAAGTCAATGTTTCTCAATCTCAGCAAGTTTAAGATGTGTGGATAGCTGGGGAATACTGGGAATTGAAGTCCACACATCTTAAATTTGCTGAGGTTGAAAAACAATGCTCTAAGTAGTCTTATTGGCATGTTGGTTCATATTACTAAGTAGAGTCTTTCCCAGTACTAGAGAACATGTATAGCTCAGGTTGAATGGTTGAGTTCTTGGTTTTAATGGAATTAGGTTGTTTCACAAATGTCTTCTTTTTGAGCCTAAATTATGTTAATGAAGCAAGTAGACATAGTCTATCTTCAATAACCAGAAACCTGTTTTAAATTAAAAGCAGCAGCAATATATGATGCTGGGCATATACATTTTATATCAAAGAGAGAAGCAACCTAGAACTAGGGAGAAACTTCCTGACAGTTAGAACAATTAACCAGTGGAAAAACCTGCCTCCAGAAGCGGTGAATGCTCCAACACTGGAAGTTTTTAAGAAGAAATTGGACAGCCATTTGTCCGAAATGGTATAGGGTTTCCTGCCTGAGCAGGGGGTTGGACTAGATGACCTCCAAGGCTCCTTCCAACTCTATTATTTTTATTATTGTTATTATTATGTAGCATAAACACAAAAATAGTATTGGGCAGGATTTTAAGTATGATTATGAATTAGAGTACGTCCTGCTCTAAAATATTTTATTTTAGAACTTTAAGGAAGGAATAGGGATCAAATATAGCTAGTCCAATGAAAAGGAGGACTAGAGCAGGGCTTTTCAACCAGTGGTACGGGTACCACCTGTGGTACATTGGCACCTGGCAGATGGTACGCGACCATCCTAGAAAAGTGGTAGTGGGGCAGGGGAATGAGCTGAACCGGTGGCAGCACCGCACAAGCCTGAGCGAGAGAT